TATACACTAAATCGTGTCCCATCTAAGTTGATTGACAAAACTCCATATAAGTTATGGAAAGGCAGAAGGTCAAACTTATGTCATATTAAAACTTGGGATTGTGACGCTTATGTGAATCGCATTAAATCGAATAAATTTGAGTCTAAATCTGATAAATACATATTTGTATGATGTCCAAAATAGATATTTGAATACTAATTCTATAATCCCCTTGAGAAAAAGGTGTTCATCTCAAGACATGTCATATTTCTAGAAAAAATTGTTTATTCTAGGATAGGACAATGAACAGAATAGATCTTGAAGGAGTTCAAAAATCCACAGATAAGTTGACCAATTAGATAAGCATGAGTCTGACCCCGCATATGTTAAAAGACATATTTAATGATCAGAAAGTAGAGAATTTTGAAGACACATTAGCTTCGTGTAAATCTTGTAGGATCGTTCGACCTCCTAGAAGGTATGAATCTATGATTACCAATAAAAGATGATTAACGCACTAGTTATGCAGAAACAAAGTCAAGCGTTGACTTAAACAGATGGTAAGAAGCCATCAAATTCAACCTGATTGGATGGAACCATAGGTTGTAAATGTGTTTACATTAAAAAGGTTGACATAGATGAAAATATACATACATACAAAGCAAGGATAATAGCAAAATGTTATAAACAAAGACAAGGATTTAAATTTGATGAAACATTCTAGCACATAGCCATGCTAAAGTCAATTCAAATTTTGCTTACAATAGCTACATACCATGACTATGAGTTATGACAAAATGATGTCAAAACTATATTTCTTAACAGGAATTTGCAAGAGAAAGTGTACATGACACAACTCGAAAGTTATGAATCCAAATATGCTTGCAAGGTATGCAAGCTTGATCGGTTCTTATATGGATTGAAGCTAACCTCTTGGAGCTGAAATCTTCGATCTGATAAAAAACTCAAAATGTCTGATTTTATCAAAAATGAAAAAAAATTGTTTGCTTACAAGAAAATAGTGGAAACGTTGTCATTTTCTTAATATATATGTAGATAATATATTAATAGGAAATGACATCACTAAGTTTCAATCATTGAAATCATTATCGTCAAATAATATATCCATGAAAGATACGAGAGAAGTAACTTGATCTATAGAGATAGATTTAGAAGATTGCTTAATTTATCCCAATCTACATGGGTAAAATATTGAAAAGTATTATATGGAGAAAATGAATTGAGAGTTCATAGATACATTGATGCTAACTTTTAGTCAGACTAGAATGATAGAAATCTTGATGAAGATATTGATTTACTCTTAAACGGCATGTTGAAAAGATTCCAAATAGAAAACAATCCTTGATTTAATAAGGGAAGCCTTTTACACTATTGCTTTAGAAGTAACAAAGGTTGTGGACTGGATCAAAAAGCTCATTAATGAACTTGGAGTAACTCCTAAATTTGTTGATCAAAAACTTCTGCATTGTGATAACAATGGATTTATTGTGCAAATGAAGGAATTAATGTGTCATCAATGGTCCAAACATGTGTTAAGGTGGTATCATCTCATTAGAAAGATAATACAAAGAAATGACGTAAAGAAAAACAAATTCCCATAGTTGAAAATATTGCAGATCCATTGACAAAGAGTTGTCACAATATAGATATGATTATCATGTAAATTCTTATGATATTAAATACATAAGTGATTGGATCTGGTGCAAGTGAGAGTTTGTAAATATTATGTCCTAGATTCAATAAAATTTGAAAATAAACACTTTTAGTATATAATTGATATAATTTTATGGCATATCTATTATTTAATTAATACTCAATTAAATTAAATAGTAGAATTCATAGATTCAAATTCTAATAATTTTTTAATTAAAAAAAGTTGTGATTATGAGATACAAATTACATATGACTGAATCTTAAATCATCCATAATCGCAAGTAATAATGATATATGAATATCGTCATTACGAATAGACCATCATGTGTGACATTTTCTTATTTGAAGTAGGTAACTGATCTTACAAGTTAAAGTGTAGTGATACTTAAATGAACATGCGGATGCCTTGTTATAAAATAAAACATTGGAGGCATGTTGGGGAGATTTTATATGAATAACTATTTGAGTATCAGTGGTTAATCTCTAGTGGATCTTTTCACGAGTTTGTAATCACAGAACTTCTCAGCAGGGCTTAGCAAGACATTTTGGATATGATCAAACTTATGACGTTGTTGATGATCGATTCTATTGGCCTTAGATGTGAAGAGATTTACATGAGGTGGTGAACCGTTGTCGGACTTGTGAGATAAACGAAGGAACCAAACAACCAGCAGGACTTTATATTCCTGTGTCCATTCCAGACAAACCTTGGCAACATAGGACTTTGTTCTTGGGTTGCCCAAGACTCTTCGACAGCATGATTTAAATATAGTGGTCGTATATCATTTCATTCCACGTAACAAGACTTATGATGCTTCAAAGATTGCTACAAGTTTATTAGCATCTATAGTTGATCATCAATTTGTTACAATCCCGGCAAGGGGATACTACAAGTTTTTTGTGCAATGGAAAAATTGTCCCAATTCATAATCAGTTTAGTTGCAAGCCACAGAACTTCGACGCTTACGTATAGAGTTGTTTCATTTCTATGGTCATCAAAACTCGCTGGAGTCAAGTTCTTTAGAGAGGCCAATAATTGATGCAAATCAAGAATCTATCCCTCAAATAAAGAATAGGAAGGCGAAGAAGGGCAGTTGCCATCTTTGACATTTTTTTGAAACCTGGAGAGATTTCAATTGCAAAGAGATTCTCAGTTTTGTTTTTCCTTCTTGGTTTTGACGTGAGGTTAAACCCGAAGGCTTTGTACCAACTGTTGAGATTGTCCGAGAATTGTTTCAGATGAGATAGTTTGTTCATTAGCGGAATAGTGGTTTGAAATTTTTTTTTTATCTTGTCTAATAGTATGTACTTCTAACTAGAGGTCGAATGCTATTGTCTTCAAGTTATGATCTTTATTCAACCTCGTGTATTTGTTCTTAATTGAGTGTTGAGTTAATATATTTATGTTTTCAAATTTTCTCGACTTTTAGTATTTATTTTCAATCGTTGGTTTTGATGGGATCGAGATCACAAGAACGAGTCATAGAGGTGCTTGATCTCGCTCGGGTAAAAAAGGGATAATTGTTCTCCTCTTTTTATTGTTGTAAACATCAGTTTCCTTTTCAAACAAAAGTTAAATATGAATGGACTTAGTTTATGGTGCAAGTACAAATTCATAGGTAGACTAGATCAACCCTTTTTACGGCAATTCACTACATGTTGGGTATTCCAACTTTAACACACTTTACAAATAATTTATATATCTAGGTCCCGTTTGGTATTCATTTTTGTAAGAATGAGAATGAAAAATATAGTTGTTACGGGACCTACACAAGAGATAAAAAAGTCAAATATAATAACTTGATATAATGGACAACGATCATATTTTTCATTTTCGTGATCAAAGAGTGTGAATCGAACTGGGCTTTAATATTTTATATTTTGTTCCATCACATTCACTTTAACCTATTATACTAAGGAGAAATAATTTACACACTAATTTTTAGAGTTGATCCAACAATATTTACATACTGTAGAAGTCTCTTTGTCCATTTCTTTCCTTTTTATTTCTTTAGTTATTTATTCTCTTTTAACATTATTCATGTTTTGTCCATTGTGGTCTTTACAATAGTTGTTGAATAATAGAAAATTGATAAAGAAATATTGTTGAACTCATGTCCTGACTATGCGAACCATGTAATCGTAGACAAACTTAAGAAGCTGAAATGAACATTCATAAGTGCAAGAACCGCAACTAAAAGTGACGAACTGATTCCATCACGTTATTTTGCATCTGAACAAAGGAATAAAGCATGATTTCATAAAGGACATATAAACTGGTAAACGAAAGGTGAACTAATAATAGTATTAGTTAGGAAGTGATCAATCGCCTTATGTCATTACTAAAAAACACTCATTTACCGCCAAAGTCTGAATAAAATCTATAAATAGACATGTTTGGATAAATAAAAACAAGTTGATATAAAACTCCCAAAGAGTCATTTAGAAGAGGGTTACAGAAAAGGAAAATCTAGTTAGATGAGGAAAATTTGCTGATCATCATTTTGAGGTCAACAATGACTATTGACATAGTTTGCACATATAAACTTAATGGAAATTTAACGAGCTAAGACAATTATTGCTATTGGCTAGCTATATTCGCACAACATTTTTTAATAAATACAACACATTTTAATTGTATTGTTGCCCCTACTCTTTATTGATTGTTATATTTATGTTTTGAACTTTTTTTTTTTGGGTCACATTCTTATCATTAGCCTTTCATCAATTCACAAATCTTGTCCTTAATGTTGATATTCAGACAATATCTTGTTATCGTGCTTTAAAACAATGAAGAAGTATTTTACTATAATTATGATTTTTTTTGCTTACTAAATACGCGAGGGTAAATTAGTCTTTTTATTTCCTCTTGGTGTGACAATAACTATAAATGTTATGAACATTTCATACAATTAAAATGTGATGCATTTGTAAGAAAATACAGTGTAAATATATTTAGTCATCCCTATTTCTCAACTCACTAGGGATTTTTAAAAGGTGGGCATTGAATAATATATCCGTATTTATTATCTCGTATCCTTATTTAGTTATCAATTTTTTATATTTTTAAATACGATTAATATTTAGTATCATAAAAATAAAATGTAAGAGTCGAGACGAATTTTGGGTGAAAACCATGTTCCCCATTTCCATCCTAATTCCTTGATGCTAGGGCCGTGGTAAAGTATTCCATCCCTACTCCCTAGTTTAATGGCGGGGGAGGATGATTTTGCTACGAAATAAGGTCAGGAATGATTCTGCACCAAATAGAAAAGGTTAAGGACTATACCTGCAATTTAACTAAAGTCAAAATTCGTACCTTTTGTATAATCGAGTCATATACATCAATTTTCCCTAAAATCAGAAGTCTTACATCTAGCTCTCACTCCCAGTCTGCCTCCGCCGCAGCCGTGCCGTGGCCGCGCCACCGCTGCGTACCAAGGTAAATGTTTTGTTCTCATTCATCGCTTATTTTGATATCGTCTTTCTGCGTTACTGTTAGATTCTTAACTGGTGATTCATTTTTTTCAGGCGAATGATTTTTCTTTAAAATAAAAAAATTATTTTCTTTTATATTGAGTTTTTGCTTTCTGATCCTGTAAGGAGTCTGGGCTTTCTGTAATTTTTTGCATTTCTTTCAAGCTACATAGCATTCTCGTTTATTCTTTGGTTTTGTCGCAACTGATTTGTAATCTAAGATCAGAAATTAGTAGTCACGTTTTTTTTTTATTCTTTTTTTAAGAAATCAACATTTTTTGAGGGCTTTTCCCCTTTAAATATTATGAACCAGCGAAGAATAAACACTTAGGGCCTGCTTGCCAGATTTTCTCCACTGATTTTGATTGCATCTTGGTGAAACTGTTTACGAGATGTTGAGAAAACCATTGATTGTTAGTTTATTGGGGCTCTGGATCAGTGTAGTGTGATTTGGGTTGTGATTCTCGACTCAACAAATTGGTGATTTTTGGGCTTTTCAAATTTTCTTCCAATTTTACAGTCAAAAAACAACTATTTCCAAATCTACCCTAAAAAGGAATTACGCTTGGACAAGAAGAAAAGAAATCCTCTTCAAATAACTCTCTCTCAAACGCTTCAGAACGCATCCACTCTTCAGATCTTCCATCAGGTATTCTCTCCTCTTATACTTGTTTGATTATCTCTAGATCCTTATTAGAATTTTAAGATTGTTTGGTGGGTTCCATGAATGTCATCTTTTTTTTTTCCCCTTTTTATCCTTATGAATGCATTTTTTTTTTCCCTTTTTATCTTTATGAATACATTTTAAAAGTTCAATTTAAAGCACACCAATCCGAGCTAATTAAATGAGCATCTTTGTACTCACTAGAGGTATATTCATTGTTACTATAAAAGCCTCATTGCTTTCTAGACTAATTAATGTGATTTATTAATGGCTATAATTGTATGTGATTTTTGTTGCTAATTGTTTAGATTTTTTGTTTTGTCTTTTATGTCTACAATTTTGTAATGTTAGAAGGCTGACCGTCACCGTTTTCATGATGATGATCTTATCATGTATATTTCCATGTGTGTACATCATATCCATATGATGTTTCTTCTACTACTTGGACTTAAATTAACACAGCAGCCTACTGCACGAACTAGTTCAAGTTTGAATTGAATCATTTGCGCAATGCGTATTATTGTGAGTGAGTACGAGATGAAGTAATGCAACTTGTTGTGGGATCAAGTTGTCCACATTTGGTTCAATTGAGTCTCACATCATTTATTAACTTTTGTAGTATTTTAGTAAGGAATGGCAGACTTCGTGCAATTTGAAGAGCCACAATTGAAGAGCAAGTTGCTAAATTTCTTTGGATTTCAGGGCAACACATCATATAGATAAAATGATATTGTAGTGCGCAAAGCAATCTTCGAATGACAATGAATTGTTGATGCATTTAGTTGAGATTGGGGTTGAAGATGATGATGAGTTGCTTAATGTTTGGACTTTTCTTCTTGAGAATCCTACAAAGTTATGGATATTTTATTAATTTTCGTGGCACCATTTCGGAAGCATGCTATGAATACGGGTCAAAAGGCAGAGAAATGTGTTCAAATAGTTATCTTGCAAATTGCATTTTGTTCAAAGCTGATGGATGTCAGCTCTTAAGAAGTATTTAGTAGAAAGAGCTTAAACGAACCTACTCGTAATAATTAGCTTCACAATTATATTCCTTTTTCTTCATCTTATAATCCAATAGAAAATAATTGGCACGTAATAGCTTATAAAAGTAACAATAATTATTCCAAGGTGAGTCCATCAAAACTGAAATGATTGAGTAAATTATATAAGCTACAGTGAATTGCGAGGGGTGACACATTTTCTTCATATTGTTTTTTCATATACCAACATTTTTTACATATAGGCATATATGTAATTTTATTCTTTTAAAAAACTTCTAGAACAGCTGAATAATAAACTCCCAAGTATGGGTTAGACTTTTTTAAAAATCACCAAAAATGAGCACTTTAAAAAATATTCGCCCAGAACTCCCAACCCAGGCTGCCCTTACAGGAAACATACCCTTTCCATGTCTAACATTTATACATGACTGACATTTTTAACACTCTATGAATGCATGCATACACACCAGTTTAAAACACCCCCAGGCCCCAACAAATAATTAAAAAGAAAAAAAATAATAAATAAATGTCTCAGGCCTTTAAGCGCAGTGCACGTGTATACAAGGATCAGAGATCATTCATGTGAAGTATTTTATGCAATATAACATTCCAACATTAATGAAAGATGACTAATGTTGTGAATTTATTTATTTATTTATTTATATTTAATTTAATAGTTACGCCCTCATATGTTGAATTATTATATTGATAATGCCGTTTAGAAGATATGGATTACATCTATAACGCTGGGAACTATTAGTTATTCGTTCTCAATAAAGAAAAATAAATATGCTTTTTCTAGATTTCTATAGTTAATTGTTGCTTGAGGTCTATCAAATATGTATTTTTGTTATATTAATTGACATGATCTAGCAGTTTTGTGTCTTTTGTTTTTTGAGATATGGTATTCTGTGTTCCTATTTTGTCATATTTTTGTTGAGATGGATACCGGTTTTGACTCGACTTTATTTCTGTGGTTTTGTATTCAAACTTGCTCTAGAAAAGAGAAAGCATTCTCTAAATATAACCTAAAGATTTTCATCTTGTTTGAAATATAAATTCCATTAACTGTGTTGCAATCAATATTTCTTCTTTTGTTATTATTGTGTTCTATTTTTCCAATGATTTCGTCTCTTCTCATATTGACAGTTCTTTTAAAAATGGAAGGAAGCTTATCAAATGTTGCTCCTGAAACCAAATCTGTCACCCGTCCCACATCTTCTCCGAAGGCATCTAAAAGGCTTTCGGATTCAATAACAAATTTTACCGTTCAGTGTGCCAATTGCTTAAAATGGAGGTTCATCCCCACAAAGGAGAAGTATGAGCAGATACGAGAAACAATAGTGGAACAACCTTTTGTTTGTAAAATGGCTCATGAATGGCGTCCTGAGATAACATGTGATGTTGAACCAGATCTCGTGAAAGATGATGGCAGTTGGCGTTGGGCAATAGACAAGCCCAGTATTCCTAAACCTCCTCCAGGCTGGCAACGAATTTTACGACTCAGAGCTGAAGGAGGCACAAAATTTTCCGACGTGTATGTTTGGCAATCCATATTTTTTCTAGCGCATTTAGACAAAGCTTTGAGCTACGGAAATGTCATTTTGACTTCAATTGGGTGGTGTCATTTTTCCTAACAGGTATTATGTTCCTCCATCATCAGGCAAGTGGTTGCGAACAACGAGGGAAGTTGAGAGGTACAATTCATCTGTTGATTGTTATTAGAAGCTGCTTAGGTTTTTTATTCGGAAGGTTCTATATTTTAGACTTCACAATCTTTTGCTTTTACTTATTTTGAGTGTTTTCCTACGTTCTTTCAAGGTACCTAAGTGAGCATCCCGAATACATAGGCGTAACAATGTCACAGTTCTCCTTTCGGACTCCTGTACCATCGGAGAAAAATTATGTTCGAAAACGTCTTGCCCGTTCTTCTGCTTCACCCGACACGGGCGAAGCTGCAATGCCAGGTTTAATCTTTGATGCTGACTGGATAAGATTTCCAAATAGATCCATATTTCTTTTGTATTAGTTCTTCATGTTAATGTATTTCTTTATATATTCTCTGCCATATTACATTTCTTAGATAGTCAGATTATAGTTAGGCTTGATTGGAACAATTTTCATGATAGTTGCTGCCATTCCGATATCTTGGATTGCTCCAGACCAGATTGAAGATTTGCAATTTGGTGAGGAAGGGAGCTCTCATGTTGAGGCACCTGCTGAAAGCTGAGGTATTTTTGTTATTTATAAAAATACCCAAATTAATAACAAAAATACCTAAATTGTTTATATTCTCTAGTGACGCATGTAGCCTTGATGTTATACTTCCATTTAGTTGGGCCCTGGGGGGTGTAGATATATTTCTTTCTCGCGTCATGCCATAAAATTTAGATATGTTTCATATTTATTGCTTATCTTTTCATCTACTTATGAATTATCACCCATCTATTAATTTACAAACATGTTTGAAAATGTCTCACCTACAACGTTTAGTTTACATTTTTTTTTGCTTCATTTTTTATATATGAAAGTTGGAATAATTAGTGATTTTTGTCGTTGGCTTAAGAAAGTCCTAATATTTGCTTATATGCATCTTCTTTCCAAAAAATGTTATGTTTTGTATGCCACATAGCTAATATCTCGTAAACGAGATTTAAATCTAATATATACCCAGAAGACGTTAAAGTTTTACTGTTGATACGTATACCATGGAGCTGCTTGTTGCTTGGTAATGTTAATATTATAAAATTTATCGGAGCTCCACTTGGAAAAAGACAATGGGTCTATCTGCTTCGTCTTACTTGTGGTGATAGTATTGTATATGACATAAGAATAAGCTAAATTCCTTCATATTATACTGTCCGGTCGTATCTGTGAACACTAGTGACATGTAGAAGAAAGGTCACTGTTATTTTTGTGCCGCTTTAATTCCTTACATTGTTCAAAACTGATGGAGGTTTCCTCGGTTTTGGTTTTAGGACGGCATATCTGTAATTCCTACAGCAGGCAGCGGACATTGGTTAAATACACCACAACAGTTCGTAGCATAGATTGTAATGTATAATATGTATGTCGATTGTGTGAAGACTGTAAAACTGTGGTACATTTATCATTTATGTTTTCTTGTGATTAGTGTTGTATCTTTTATAATAAATTGATGTCTTTATAGTCTTCATTTTTCCCTACTATGATGTCGCAGAAAATATGGGATTATTATGGTACAAAAGTATGGGGTATACCTATATATATAGAAATGTTTAACACATAAATTCCGGATCGATAGTTAGAGGTGTCACTGGTCTCTACTTGACATTTTTCCTTAGATGCATGAAGATAATTAATTTCATTGATGTGCTCAAACTTTAGGGGGGTGTTTGAGCCACATTATTCCAAAAAAATGTATTCTTAAACAGTGATTTGACATCATTTTAACTACACATTATTCAATAAAATAATATTACACAAATCAAAAAATTTTCCTTATTTTTGAACAACACATTTTCCATCAATGCACTATTCAAGAATGCATTATTATCAAAATAATGTGGCTCAAACATCCCATAATATGGAAATTTGTCGACAAGATGGACAACCTACAGCCACAAATGTCGATAACCAGTAAATCTGTGAACCGAACTGAAGATTTTACAATTTTATGGATTATATCTATGCCAATTGAGGATAAAGATTCTTGTACATAATTTTTTATGTACAATGGTATCCATCCTTTCACATGGCATGGTGTGCCCAGTTGAATATTTTATTTGAGCGGGCGTCACGTATGTGAGAGGGTGGATACCGCTATGTATAAAAAAATTACGTATTCCTAGCATTTTCTGTCGATCAATTGCTAATGAACACAAAGTACGGAAAACTTGGGAGACCGTTTAAGTATTGCCTTGATCTCGTAGATGACAAGCAGTGAGAACAGAGAAAGAGAGAATTAAGAGAAATTGCTAATAAATTTTTAATGTTAAAAGGGACTTGACTGGTTGGGTCTGAAATCAGATTATTTAGGCCATCTGATATTTATAATCTACTTGCATATCCCGATTTATGGGAAAATTGACTGCTCGCAGAGTTTCTGTTTGGAAAATTGTAAAAACAAATATTCTCAGTTCAATGTAAAAAGATTTTGTATAAACGGGTTTTTCTTCGATCGCGATCAACTCAATAGTCATATTTATTTTAATTGCAACAATTTTTGAACATAAAATGGAAAGACCCTCGTACAAGTAGTTTAATAAATAAAGGGTTAATTGTTATACATCACGATGTAGAATAGATGATTGAATAGATAAAAGAAGAATTGCATTGAAAAAATAGGAAAATTACAGCAACGGTCACTAACCTTTTCAATTTTTACAGACTTTACTACAACATTCATTTTGTGCCACTCAAAATCCCAAACCTTTCAAAAATATGCATCTAAAGTCTAGATAGATAGAATCCATCTATTTGACCGTTAGTTGACCAAGGAAGTCAAAACATGATCAATTTTGACCAAATTCAAAAGGATAAAATGACAATTTTGTAATTATCTCACATTAAAAAAGTTAAAAATAAAATTGAAAAAACCAAAAAAAATGAAAATTAATCCTTCTTCCGCCCACTCTACTCTTCCCCATTCCCACCCACACCGACAGTCGACATTGCCACCCGAAGGCCGGCCACCATCACTACGTCACCCAAAAGTTTAGGTCACCCACACATCATCAACAACGTTAACCAAAGCCACTGAAATAATTAACCCAATACAAAATTTTCTAGATCTGAGATAGGAGTAGGGTTTTGGGCTTATTGGCAAAGCAGAGAAGTGGAAAATCAGATCACAGAGTTATAGTGGACAACAATAAGAATTTGGAGCTGACGACAGAGGCTGCTACTTAGCTACACGAGGGCATAAATTTGGTGCTATCCCGATGGGCCACTGTTAATATGTTCCATCTCCACAGTGCCACGATTAGATGTTCATGAGGTAGGGCACGAATTTATTTATTTTTTTGAAAATACCGACATTGGTGAGGAGATCGGTGTTGGTGGTCGTGAATTTTAATAGGGTGGAGGTGGAGGTGAAGGTGGAGGCGAGAGTGGGGGTGTGGTGGGATGGAGTCGAAGGAAGAAGGTGGTAGTGGGGGTGGTGGTGGCCAGTGGACGGCGGACGACGGTCAGCACCACTGACCCTGCTGCAATTTGGAGTGGTGGGGGTGGGGAAAGATGATGATGCCCCATTATCTTTCTTTTATTTTTTTATTTATGGTTTATTTTTTTTATTTTTTAACTTATTTAATGGGAGAAAATGTAAAGTACCATTTCACCCCCTTCAATTTAGTCGAAATTGGTCAAAGCCCACTCTTCTTGGTCAACTAACGGTCAATGGATGGATTCCATCTATATGGACTTCAGATGCATATTTTTGAAAGATTCAGAATTGTGAGTGGCACAAAATGAGGATTAGAGTAAAGTTTGCAAAAATCGAAAATATTAGGAACCACTACTACAATTTTCCCTTGAATTGAAAAGGAAATAGCACAAGTGTGGCAGTTGGGCTCGCCTTTGGGCCTGTAATACCATTTCATAAAAGGAATGAAGAGACGAATAGAACTTACTGCTTTGCTCTGATGTACGATAAATTTTGACCATTCGAGTTCGTTTAGGAGTTAGGACTCGAAAACTACGTTTAAAGTTTTAATAGATTTTGAATTCTTTTCAATTTTAGTTTGTTTAAATTAGATTTTCATGTAAACACTAATAAATAAGGGTTAATTCATTTGAAATGTTTTTATTTAAAACCCTCATCTTTTTATCTGGGATTGAGATCAGCTACTTTCGAGTATGTAGAGTTGATATTGTACACAAAACAACTTATTAGGTGTACTTTTTTCAAATCAAGAATTCGAAAATGAAGAATCCATTCTCAAGTTTCAATCCAAGTATCAACAATGAAGCATGCTGCCAAACACACTTCGTTGACGATACCTGGATTGGAACTTAAGAAAATAGAATTTTCATTTTTGAATGCTTGATTAAAAAAAAAAGAATTTATTTTGACCATTTATGTTTTTCCAGGTATCGTAAATAAAGCATTGGTCAAACACTTCATGTGTTTGATGATAAGTGTGTTTTTACACACTTATTGATACGAAACCCGTAGCAACGTTGACTGCGAAATCCACAACGAGATTGACGAACCCAAGAAAATCAAATTAATCCAAGAGTTTAGGATTAATCCAAAAGAAAGTCGAACCAAAAAATCCAACAAGAACGACGCTTGAAAGACCCCTTGATCACGCAATCCAAGAATTAAATCCGGTTGTTTGAACGCCACAAGTTAACACTTGATAAATTCGAAATTGTTCAATGAAGAACGATGAAGAGAAGACAATACACCTCACTTTAATTCAATATCAAATATGTAAAAAAAAAAATTTACAATTGAATGAAAACTCCTATTTATACTAAACCTAAAAAATAGGTAAAAATCGTCCAAAAGTCGAGCATAATCCCCAAAATATGGAAAAGAATAAAAAACTAACAAAATATGAAAAATACCAAAAATGGAAAATTCGCCAAAATTTTGGCCTATGCGACCGCGACGCTCATTTCTATACGGTCGCATAGTTCAAGCAAGTTGCCTCTTTTGAGTTTCGGTAAGCCTCCATGCGACCGCGAGCCACTTTGGCCTATGCGACCGCATAGGCTTGGAACTTCTCTCTGATTTCGACCTTCGTTATTAAATTGATCCAAATTGATTCGGCCTTCGACCCGAACATGAAAGTTGCTCCATTTTGAGTTCCGAACATGGTTCCGTCAATGGTTTCTTGAATGAGTAATCACATCACTTGTTTCACTTACTTTGCCCTTGATCGCGTCATCGGTCTGTCATTGTCTATCAACGAGTCTCGTCTCGCACTTGCCTTTATCGAGCTCGAGTAGGGCTGGACAAAACTCCCGAACATAACCAAACCCGACTGTTCTTCTCAAGTTAAATACTCGAACGGGTATTTGAATTAAGAACCGACAGGTATGGTTCGATTCTTAGTTCTATGCCAAGCCCGAAGAACCGAATCTCCGTAATTTTTTTAATTAATTTATTTTAAATAAGTAAAGTTATTTTATTTTTTCCAAATAAATTTGTTCATTACTTAATTTAGTTCAAACCACAAAATATGATTTTCCTATTTCTAATTTTCAGTTCAAAATCAACTCAATCAAATTGACCTCAATTTTATCCAAATCTGTTATTCTACTGTAGTGTCGTTTCTACCAAAGAAAATCGAATTAAAGCTCTGCAACATCTCTCTTAATTATTTTGAGCTCGCTACTTTTTTCTTTCTGTAATTTTAATAATCAAATTTATAAATAATTTAGCAAAGAGAGTTCAACACATAAGATTGAACTACGTTATTTTGTAAGAGCTAATATTGAACATATCATTAATTAAATTAACGTAACCTTATATATATTAAAAAATTTAATTATAATACGGAACCAAACCGAACCGAATGGAACCGAACCCAAACGGTTCTGTAATTAAATTTGAACACAATGGTTCCACTTACTAAATACCCGAAAATTTCGGATTGGTTCGATTCTCGTTAGAACCGAACTGAATCGGACCATGTCCAGCCCTAGGCTCAAGTCTCGTCTCGCGCTTGATTTCGTCAGGCTCGACTCCTGGGTCATATCATCCCCTCCCTCAAAAGGATTCGTCCTCGTATTTGAACCTACATCAAATAGAAAGAGATCAGATACATTAAAAGTAGCTGAAACATTATACTCACCTAGAAGGTCCAACTTGTATGCATTATCATTTATCTTTTCAATAATTTGAAATGGACCATCGCCCCTCGGTTGCAACTTGGACTTCCTTTGCTCCGAAAACCGATCCTTCCTAAAGTGCACCCAAACCCAATCTCTTGGCTCGAATGTCACGCGCTTCCTACCTTTGTTCGCTTGCGACGTAACCAACTTACTTTTGTTTTTAATTTGCGCTTTTACCTTTTCATGGAGTGACTTAACCAATTCCGCCTCCTTTTTGCCATCTAAACTACCACGTTCATTGACAGGTAAAGGAATTAAATCCAAAGGAGTTAGGGTATTAAAATCATATACAATTTCAAATGGAGAATATGACGTAGTAGAGTGAACAGCTCGATTGTATGCAAATTCAACAAATGGTAGG